CGTGGTAAGAGTGCCAGTCTTGGTATGGCCATTGCCTTGGCCATCACTCAGGGGTAGTATGATCCATGTGGCCTCCTCATGAACCCCCTATCGTAGGTACTCCAACGTATTCGTAACGGCCCCCTCACCGGAAAACCTCACCACTCTGTTCGAGTTCGTATTGAAGACCTTCGAGTCCCTCGGCTATGCTGAGCATCAGGACTACAGCCTGGTAGGACGATGTTGTAGTGGCAGCCGGGCTAGAGGAGTACTGGTCTGGTCGTAGGTCCAACAGCAGCAGTCTGGTTCGGAGGACTATGGTAGTGATAGTAAGGCCAGGTTGGAGAGTGGTGGAGGTGGTCATCGTGGAGTGAACACTCCTCTGGTCCGCATCAATGTGTATAAGACTCACAGGCAGACCATTCAGTACGTTAGCCCGGCTGATAGCAAGTAAGAGGGATTCTTGGCCAAGTGTACCACTGGGTATATGTTACTGTGTCATCATGACACTGTCATGTAGCACGTAGAGGAGTTTCCAGGGATCGATCATTTCTAGTGGTGGAATGGGTGATAGGCCAGCTCGATGAGCCTATTATGGTTCGTGGATGCCTTACTGATGGAGGCCGTTGAATGTTGTAGGTATATCTCTCAAGCGGAGCTGTTGGTCATTGACGAGGCCGCAGCAATACCTCTACCAGTGGTGAAGAAGCTCTTGAGCACAGGTCAGCACATCACTCTGATGTCTAGTACGGTGCAGGGCTACGAGGGTACTACCAATAGGATGGGTTTGCACGGCACAGATCTCAATTAGGAACGGGCCGTGCTTTATCATTGAAGCTCATTGCGGAGTTGAAGAAGCAACAGAAGGGCTCCTCAAGGGACGATTCCAATGGGAAGCATCTCACCGAGCTCACTCTGAATACACCGGTAATGGGCTTGTGACCTCTCGATTCTCTCAATGAGGGGTTATGCTTAGATACGATACGCTAGTGGTGATGGTTTGGAAGCCTGGCTTGGTCGTCTACTGTGCCTGGATGCAACGTCGCCCCCGACCCTTCGGAACCTGGATGGCCTCCCGATGCCTGAGCAATGCGAGTTGTAGGAGCAAGGCCACGCTATCCTTCGGTGGATCACTGCCTGGCCTGCAGGTACCTGGTCAATCGGGATACGCTCTTCTCGTACCATAAGGCCTCCGAGGTCTTCTTGAGGAACATGCAGTCTCTGTTCGTGAGCTCGCACTATAAGAACTCCCCCAATGATCTCCTTCTTATGAGTGATGCCCCTAAACACCATGTAAGCCATGAGCTGTGCTATTGGAACCATCGTGCTTTGTACAGGTTTTTGCGCTCTTACCACCGTTATCGAAGAGCCAGGGTCGCCTCCCGGAAGTGCTGGTCAGCATTCAAGTAGGGTGGGTTGTCAACTGATGTCGCGGCCTGGCCGACTTGTCCAAGAGATGTCGGCTATGGATTTACTCTTGGGCCTTGCGCTTTAGGTCTGCGCAGAGGGTAAGCTGTCACGTTCGGCTCAGTCCCAGGCCCTTAGGAGGGGCGAGATGAGACCTAGCGGTGATATGATACCATGGACGCTGGGACAACAGTATCCCGACTCGAGCTTTGGCTCTCTAGCTGGGGTAGGGAGTAGTAGGGAGGCTACTATTCAGGGGCTCACATGTTATGGGACAGGTACGAGTGGTGCGTATAGCGTGTCACCCCTCGCTGCAGAGGAAGGGGTATGCTACTGAGGCATTGAAGCAGCTGGAAGCCTTCTTGGAGGGTAAGATGGCTGGTGCTGGAGATGATGACGACGAAGGTACTATGGGGAATCCTTATCAACGACATTCGTCTGTCTTTAGAATCCTCATCTGATGAGGACGAGGACGAGGAGGATGAGCAGCCTGTTGCCGGCAAGGGTGAGCCGAACACGGCTGACGGCCGATCGGCTCTTCATACGGAACGTATTGCTCCTAAGAAGAGTGTGGCCCCCCTGCTGAGCAAACTCTCTGGTAGTTCGTTCGGTCCCTCATACTATAGGGTATAGTCCTTGCTCAGATGTTGAGAGCCTCTTCCCTGGTGGTGTTGACTATCTTGGGACTAGCTTTGGTCTCACACTACAGCTGTTCAACTTCTGGCACAAGTCTGGACTGGTCCCGTTATATGTAGGTAGTGTCCTCTACAGTAGAAGGGCCATTGTTTTGTGATAGGTCCGACAGACAGCTAACGAGATCACAGGGGAGTGCTCGGCTATTATGGTACGCAACTGTAGTGAGGGTGGAGACGACTGGTTGAGGAAGCTCTCGGTGGACTTCAATGGGAGGTAAGATCTATCATCATTTCCATGTAGTGTGGTGAAACTTGCGCATGGTCAACCACACATGTTGGTGACAATATGAGAATTTTGGGAGGAAATTTTGGGGAATTGTTGCTGGTTTTTGTACATTTCCAGCCTAACTAGTATGTAAACTCCTATGATTAAATAGGAAAAGCGAACATATATTCCAACATTGTTACGCTCAACAGCTCCGTCTACGCTCTTTGAATGGTCGCATTGAACTGTTCCTGTCAAATCATCAGGTTTGTCCGTCTTCTATCGAGCTCCCCCTTCCGACACATGCAGACTGATCTTGCCTTATCGGTGGTGTCGGCCACGGAGTTGCCCCAGAAGGAAGAGGACCTAGTGTTGCCTTCCGTGGACAAGTCTAATGTAACCACAGGCGCCTGCATGATGGGAGACTATACTATGGGGTTCTGCTCAGGTGCTGCAGTTCCTCTCGCGATATGATGTTCATAGGCTGCAACAGTACGGCAAGAATCTTGTGGACTACCATCTCGTTACGGACCTGGTAAGTACTTCCTGCATCGTCATCGGCTCCATAAGAGGCGTGCCTTAAGATACCGGTGGTGGCTGACCTCTACTTTACTCATCGTCTGCCGAGTATCAACCTGTCCTCCCTCCAGAAGGCGGTCCTGTTGGGTATGGGCCTCCAAAGACGTAAGGCCTCCCACCCCCATGGGGAATGACGATGGAATGCCCCTGCGCAGGTTCCGTCGATGACTTGGCTGAGAAGGAGTTTGGTAAGCGTTTGCGGCCTACGCAGCTGCTGGCCCTGTTCAATAAGGCAGTGTATAAGCTCGCTAATCAGCTGTTGAAGGGGATGATCGAGGATATTGAGAAGGACGAGCTGAGTCAGAAGGATGCCAAGAAGGTAGGTTGATCGTCTAGTGGGGCCGGGCCCTGGGAGGTAGAGTGGTGTGTGGCAGGATGGGCCTGTCGCTGGGACTGTTGAGGAGGAGGAGGAAGTAGTGGAGTTGCCGGAGAATACACTGGAAGAGGACCAAGCCCTTGCAGGGGAAGAAGTTGATAAGGAGCTGTTGGCTAAAAAGAGGGAGCTTCTACTGGATTCACTCATGACCTCACAGGGTGGTGGATCTTTTGAGAGGTACCAAACGGTCGTGTTGGGGAATTTAAATGCAACATTTCGCATTTTCGCCGATGAATTTCCCGAGGGATGATGTTTTTGCTACAATTCACCCAAGCCGTTACGACACTCCCCACAGCGGTCCAGTAGTGTATAGTGTACAATCCATGTCGACTGCTTGTCCGTACGGACCCGTGCTGTCACCGCCATCTTGTTATAACTGCATGGTTGATCGGGCATTTGTGATATTCCTGTTCATACTATCAAGTCGTTGCGGTCACATCCCTGAGTAAACTCCAGTAGTAGTCTGTATGAATAGTGTGGACTTGTGCTGCTTGGATTCTGCCGTTTCTGTTTTCCCGAGATATCCATGTCATAGTCTATGACTCATAGATACAACGTGTCTAACCTTGATGAGGAGAAGATTTCGAAGGGGGAGAAGATTGGCAATAGAGTGTTGGTTGAGCGAGACTCTGCTGAGAAGAAGAAGCGTAAGAGGACCTCCCAAGGTGGTGGTGGAAAGGGCGGTAAGAAGGCTCACAAATAAGAGGTATAAAGTCCTCAACGTCTATTTACCAGCAACGTTGTTTCTACCTGCTCTCATCTCTTGAGTTTATTTATTTGTCAATCATTGAAGCCATACCACACCTCCGCCACATCTGGAAGGATGATCATCGATCGCCATCAGACGTTGCATAGTCCATCCTCCACTGCCTGCCTGAGTGCATAAGAGATACCTTGAGGGCTCGGCGGAGGTCCATGGTGAGCCTGTATACTCACCACTCTATTACTCCTCGTGTAAATGACGGCTGATGATGAACCCGAAGGATATGACGATGGTGCCATCCAATAGGTTTGATACCTAGCTCACAATGAGCTGCAGATAGTCGATCGTCATTATTCCTCTCTTGCCGTACTAACTGGTCAACAGAGCTCGGACGGGGGTACGACCGTGCCGAAAGGGATTTGGTGCAAGTGTGTCGGTAGCCTTCCCTCGTTGGTCTGTCTTATGCCTGCTGCTGCTGCTGGTCTCACCACCAAGTCAGAGTCCCCTCCGGAAGCTTTGAGTGGCGATCAAGAGTCAGCAGGACTGAAGCTCTCAGTGTCTGTGGTAGGTGTGTCGGTCTAGACTAGGCATAATCTCGAAAGGTCCCAGTGAGGGCCGCTATGAGTTGCATTCTTCAGGAAAGCATCGTCGGATTGATGTCTTCCCATACCACTTTTGTGGAGCTCGATCTCAGCTCCATTGGGGCAGAGGAGCAGTCCCTCGTTGTTCGATCAGAGGCTCTAGGGAAGGCGGAAGAGAGGCCCTCGAGGCTGGTGGGAGGATTGGTATGATCAGACTATAGTAGGGTATTGGTCAGTCGGGCTGGACCTTCAACCAGCAACAGGCTGGTGATGGAGATGAGGGGCCTACGTCACAATGGGTGGTCAACGTGAGCATGGACGACACCATTCACACGAAGGTGAGAGGCAGTCTAGTCTATCAAGGTTGACTTGTGCTTATCATAGATCTGCCTCGGCATGCTTCGCCTGCGCCTGCTCGATGCGGACCGAGATGGGGCTGTTGTAGCTAGTGGGCAGGTTCCTCTACGCAGCCTTCTGCATGGGACTTGCGCGTCGGAAGGTCACTACCCGTAGGGCCTCGATGCTGTTGAGGTTACTACGGCTTCTGGTTGTCATTTAGACTCATTCTAGCTGCTGAGTACCTCGACAAGGCCTCAGAGGAGGAGGGCCTCGGGGCTGTACCAAGTAAGTGTAGTTATCATTGGCGCCAACCACTAGTGGTCCCCAAGGTATGGCTCGCTGCATATTAGCTTGAGAACAATCTTGGCAAGGTTTGCCTGATAACTTGTCGACTAGTATGCCGTCTTGATTGATCAGATTCATGTAGGGACCCAGCAGAACTCCAAGTAGAGCAAGCTCCGACCTTAGACGCCCACGTGAGGATAGGAACGGATAATCTCATTGGTGATAAGAAGAGCCCCTCTGGAGGATTACCTTTTCCTCTAGGAGACGTGGAGGACTTCCCCGAGGATTGGCGAGTCGTAACACTGCACGTCCATGGCATGTTAGTATTCCGACAGTGACGATGCTGCTACTGATCCCCAGGTACAACCTACCCAAGCCTCTCCTTGAACTTAGTGGTGGTGACCAAGTGGTAGAGGAGGCCTCCTGCTATGTGGATGGATCCTATCCATTAGAATATGCTGTGAGGGGTTTGCTGATCACTGAGGCGCTCGATCGCCTCGCTCTCTAGGTCAACCTGAGGGGTATGCAGTTGAGGAGCGGCAAGCTGTATAGGTGGGCTGTCCCTGCTGCTGGGGATGACCATGCAGAGGATGGCGGGGAAGTAGGGACTATGTGAAGCGTTGATAGGCATATGATGTTAGGAAGCACTGGCCTATGGTGTAGCAGACGTTCGTGTGGGCGCCGATGAATTTAGGAATAAGATGGAGTAACAGGGTCCCGAACATGGCCTGCTGATTGGACCTAGCTGATTTCGCAGAGCCCTTGGTTATCCTGCTGGTCCGCTTGCCATAAGGGCCTTGTTCGAGACTTTGGCTGATGATGAGCCCCAAGAGCGTCGCTGCGTCACCAAGGCTTGCGTGAGCCTTGCTCACGCCTCTCTACCATACCATACCTTCTCCTCAAGGTCGATAGGGCGTTTTCGAAGAAAGATGGTATGGAGGGGATGGTGGAGGCAGTAGAGGTGGCTGGACGACTCCAGAAGGTCTGTGACCAGCTCGAGGAGCCGACGCTGTAGCTGTCGGGCTGTAGGTATTCGGAGCGCCCGAGGAAGCATTGGCCGGAGTACTGGGGAGTGGGCAGCCTGGACCTGCGAATGGGATCGTCACTAAGGAGCAGGTGAGTCTTTGGGATCTCAGTGTCTCATCTGATCGCCCAGCTCGCGGCGTGGTTACAACAGACCGATGTGGGACCAGGAGAGGAAGTATTGGAGGAGACGAGTGAGTGGCTGAGGGCCGCCCCTCTTGCATCGCCCTTGTGGACAGATTCTAGTGGGGATGGGAAGAGCCTGGCTGATCGCGTCTTTGACTTCCTGGGAGTAACTGAGGCGGATAGAGGTTTGGATGTGTATCATATCACGGTTATGTATCTATACAGGTTGGTGTTGATGGAAACTATCATCCGTAGCCGCTTGCCTCTGTTCAGGCGAGTCGAAATGGTCAAGAAGGCCGAGGCCCTACGTGACGTCTGTGTGGCCCATAGCGGTAGCCTCGGAAAGGCCTTCGAGATTATGGGCTCAGAAGAGAGTGTGGATATTCATGAGTGGGAATGATAATGCCCATCGGGTGTAGCCGACGTGGTAGCGTCTAGATTCATAGCCTACATGGAGGCCGCTTCGTCGGGGCCGGCGGCGGCTAGCACCGATGAGTTGGAGTATATCTTCCACTGGCTAGACAGTGATGGGGATGGCTATGTGTCGGCTGGGGACATGTTGATGTTGGAGGACTTGGATGTATCACTCCTCCTAATGCTCGCGTCTGAGGTTATATCCCAATATCAGGCATTGGAAGCACTCCTCCATATCAAGGCTGTGGCTGTGGAGTTGAACACCAACGAGGATGGGAAGGGTAGGGTGGAGTCTGGCTAGGTGACTCATCCCCTCTAGTAGGGCGGACCCTTGAGGACATACTGCTCAGCAGTGGCTCAGCAGCAGGTGGCATCACCGGAAGGTATATCGGAGGGGTCAGCCGCTACTTGGCAGTGGCCTGCTGTAGGCATATCCTCAATTTCCTTTCTCTTGGATACCAGAGTGTTGTCGATGATATGATGGTGGAGGGTATGGCAAAGCTCGATGTTGTTGGGATATGCAAAGTCGTTGATGGTTTCCGCCCCTGGGCCCTGGAGAGGTACTCACGGCAGATGCTCTATTACGATGTCATCAAGTAGATTCAATACGACCGACGACTTCCTGCTGTGTCTGGCCAAGGGCATGGCGGCAGAGGCAGATCAGCCAGGAAGAGATCCCTTCGTAAAGTGGGGCTCCAACCCTACAGTCGCGGCATATGAGGTGATAGTAGCAAACAAGGTGACCAGAGTCATAGCTTTTCACAACCTAGGGTCGTCGGTTCCTCGAAGTAGTCCGAGCCCTGCACTGTGGCTCCACGAGGCATGCAGAGGACCAGTGGGTCCACATAGACATCAGCGTGCCGGAGGTTTCCTTAGAGAAGGAGGGCCGGAAGAAAAAAGGCGGCCAGGTCGGTCGGGGGAGGGGCTACGCTGTATAGAGGGGCACACTCCGGTTGCAGAAGAGTGTTGGCGCTGGTAGCAGCAACGTGGAAAGTATGAAGAGTCTGGCGGAGCGGTACCGAGGGAAGGCCCGCATCCCCCTGGGGAGGTTGGCAACGGTCTCAGCAATAGAGTGAGGGGTTAGTGAGAACAGCAGCCTTTGGGATGGACGAGAGCTCTCAGGGGGACGACCCTCGTTGTGACGGGGGATCCGCAAGGATCATGCGACAGCAACAAGGAGGAGGTAGTGGTGAGCATCTACGCACTAGACATGCCTCAATCGTGTCCAGGGCGGGGAGGGTCTGCCCACGTATGAGACCACAGGGACGTTCATTCGCTACAGCCTATCGGTGGACCGCCCTGTGGATGCTCTGGACACTAGGGTAAGCTGCGGAGGAGCGCCCTGCTGGTGTTGAGAGTATTCAGATACAAATACCATCAGCAACGCCGAGCGAAGGTCCACTGGTGAGCACTGCCACGTCAGTGAGGCCTCGACTATGTTGCTGCAGGAGTACATCGTTCCTGAGCTGGCCGAGGAGCCCCGAGAGCTGAGTTTGCAGCAGGAGTGCATTGAGGAGGTCGGCGGGTAGATGGGGGTCTTCGGTTTACTCTATCCCTTCAGATTGCCGCTTCTATCGATGAACATTTACTGCCGGGCATTTTATCTTTACAGAGCGACGGAGAGGCACAGGGTGAGCGAATCCTCTCGACCCGTGGTCGCTACGGTCCCCTCGGTTTTGTTTCCAGAAAGTCGTGTCGCCGCTGAGGCCCTCATGAATGACGTTCGTTCTGTGGTCTCGAAGCTCGCGGCCCGTGGTGCCCAGCGAAGCAGAGACAGAGTTAATGTGGCTGGAAATATCAGCGAGAACCGTCCCTTGGTGTTCAGCATCTCGCCGCTGCCGCTCCCTGTGTGTGGAAGGAGTACGTACCCTCCAGTGAGTTGTTCATGGAGAGCATGGGACTGGCGGACCGGGCGCTTGAGGCGGTGCTAATGAGTCGATCGATGAGCCGCGATGAGGAGTGCTGGAGGCCAAGGTAGGTGGAGGAGGACGCAGTCCCCGGTTGGGAGCTCCCATGCTTAGGGAAGCTCGAGACACTGCTGGAGAGGAGAAGCTCAGGAGGGTACTCTATGCGGCCCATATAGCAGTGGTGGGATCTCCTGTTAGGACTTATCTGCACGCTACGCCCGGTTGTCTTTCGAAGCTGAGACCAATGGCTGGCCCGATCGGGCGATGTTGTTCTTCGAGAAAAGGCTAGAGCTGGACATGGATGATCCACAGCTATGGTTCCGGTGGGCGGCTACGTTGTAAGGGTGTCGGACCGAGGCTCCCGTAAGGTACGCCCGACTGCTTTGTCGGGTGGCCTCCACCTATGGCGGCCCAGAGGGGCATAAGACCATCAGGAAAATTAAGGCTATTTCGGCCTTACAGCGCTGCTTGGCTCTGTGTGGTCTCTCTGGCACGCTTGCGCACATCCCCGCTGACCCCAGTGTGCGACGACGGGTAGGACTGGGAGCACGGTGTAGTGTTGAGGATGGTCTTGGTCCAGGTGCCGGTGCCTGCTTTAACGGCTCTTGCGGTCCTCCTGGCGGACCAGGGCGAGGTCGATGCGGCATTGAGAGTCTTCTCGTGAAACGGCAGTCCCTGAGGAGGTTATTGCTATGGTCATTTATCAGGTTCATACTGAGGCTTGGTGAACACCAACGATGCCCGAAGGGGACCTTCCTCCTGCTCGCTTTGGTTCTACACCAAATCGATCAGTGGCGACTGAGGGATAAGTAGGACCCTCCCGTAGTCATCGTAGGCCATGGTATGCTCACGAGGTACCTCAAGCTGGCGGCTGTGGATGCCACAGGGGACGCTGAGCAGGGCGAGACGGATAGGACCGAGGGAGGTAGAGAGGCTTGGAGGGGTGTCACTTGGTACAGGAGTTGTTTGTTCCGAAGGTGTTCAGGACGATGCTGATGAGGAAGACGGAGGAGCTGAGCCTAGTTGTGAGGTCATTTTAGTGTACAGTGGTTTATCAGTTGGTTGCTTAGGCGATGCTGATGGGATGCCAATGAGACCGAAGACCTCTGGATTGCCCGTGAGAGACCTCCCCGTGCTGGACGTCATCAGAGAGCTTATCGCCCTGGGCTTGGGGGAGATGACTCAGTCCATCCTGGCCCTTATAGACGAAGGTTCATAGAAACACTGTAGCTCGTGAGTATAGGGCATGCTGCTGATGCTGATCAGGCTTGATTGACCTTGGAGCCTCTGCTAAAGCTAGCAGGTGCTTTAGCCTGTTACGGGTGCAAACGGCAATGCTATCAGGTAGCTGCTGAGCTTTGAGCGTACTCAGTGGGTACTTCTCATATTACTTTCCTTAGGGAATTTCCAACTGGCTGTTGACATTGTGGAGAAGCTAATCCTTGGGGTAAGGGTGGGGCGAGTGCCGTGATGGGAAGGTCGTGTCCATGACAGGATAGCGACCGGGATCAGGCAGGGTGGCTCTACCGGGGGGAATGTTACTTCAGACTGGGGAGGAAAGGGGATGCGTTGGATTCCTTCCAGAAGGCAACTCGAACCTTCACAAGTCCACCGGAGGACTCGATTGTATACCTCCGAATGGGTAAGTGCTCGAGTCCAGCTGTTATGGTGTATGCAGTGCTCTGGTCTAGGGACTCTCTATAGCGAGTTAGGTCAGCTCACAGAGGCATCGGAGGCGTTCAGGACGAGTCTCACATATGAGCAAACGTCCCTGGCGTGGCTAGGCTTGGCCCAAGTGGAACGCAAACGTGAGGACTTGAAGGGTTCAATCGCCATGCAATAGTATCAGCTTAGGATGCAAGTCGTCGCTGAGCCTCCTCAAAGCCGCCAATGCTCTCGATCCGTATCGAGCCGGGGTATGGGCCGACCTGTGTGTCGAGTTGCTGAGGAGCGACGATGCTGTCGGCGCGGCTAAGGTGAGTAGATCACTTATCTACTGTGCACTGGACTTATCCTTGCAGGCCTTGCAAGCCTTCATGAGAACCTCTTGTATGGTGGTCGGCACTGTGGACCGTAGGGCTGAGATAGAGTCCTTGTCTGGGGAAGTCTGACGACAACTCAGAGTATTCAAGCTCGATCATGTGCTTATCCAGGTCCGCTGCTTGGACTCTCTCACCGAGCTTGTTGATGGCTTGTTGGGTCACGGGAAGTTCGCAAAGGAGGTGACTGAAGGGTGACTAGAAGTGTCCCGTCTTTTATGGGGAGCCTCAGGCCGAGAACCTCATCCGACTGTATCAGCGTCGTGGTGTCACTGGTGTTGCGAAGTCTTTTAGAGTGACCGAACTGCTCGCTAGAAGCCTGGCTCAGCAAGGAAAGTGGAAAGAGGCCTGCGCCGAGCTTGAGGAAGCCGCCAGGAAAGCAAAAGTCAGTGAGTGATGTACATGCTACATTCACTAGCTCCCAAGTAGGGAAACGTTGAGGGCTTGATGGATGTAAAGAGTTTTGAGTGGTACAGTCATCGTGTAGCAGGATGACAAGCATGACTTTAGGTTTGGTGTAATCATCTCGTATAATTCACATTGTCGAGTTTACAGTAGTTGGTAATTGAAAACTGAGGAATTCTCGAATGATCCACTGCAAAGTCCGTGTAAGTATTATGCGGTAATGACTTCGCCTCACTTATATACAACTGTGACGCACTACGAATGAACGTGGGTCCCTGTACCTCTGTAAAAATATTGTCCCTATCGTTGTTTAAGCAGTACATGTGCAAAACCTGTGACACCACGAATTTTGGATAATCCGCTGACAACATAATTTCATCTCCGGAAGCGCGAGTTTATTGTGCCATCCACTAAACCAAGTGCCAACTGTGAATATTCCGAGCGTTGAGCGCTATTTCCATCAGTGCGTTGTGCCGTCGTTGAACTTCCTCCATTACAGGACTTACACGTGAATGGTCCATGTAATGATGAGTACTGCATAAGGAATCGGTGTGGAAATGTGTAATGCGGGTGATGCTGTCCCAGTGCTTGCACATGTTTCAGCCACTACCAGTTCGAGGGAGATACTTCGGTAACTCAACCAAACAACGACCGCCATAAAATTATCGCATGAGGACACCATTACATATGATACGTGGAAAATGATTGATTCATTGGTTTTCATGCTTGCCTGGCGACTGCTCTGTTGAGTTGGAAAGCCGAACTCTGCGGACAGAAGCTTGGGCCAGCGCTCTTATCTAGAAAAGACTGCGGATGATCACTTCCCAACGATAGTAGTAAACAACCTTCGAAAGTGGATTAGACGCTGACTGCTTGCTTGGTCGAGGCAGAGCTTGCAAGTTCCCTCCATGAAAACCCGAGGAGGCTTTCGCTGAGGCCGCAGCAGACGTAGGAGAAACTGTAGCCAACAAACTGGCGAAGTCATAATAACTACAGCACCTCACCGCCACCGGGTCTCTTGCGCCAATGGACGACGTGCGTAGCCGAGGGGAGTCCAGTGGTCCGGTTTATAGCCTGATTGGGAGTGATGTAATCTTGTTTCGTAGAGAGTGATCCCCCACGGAGCTTCTGTATCGGTATAGACCTCCTCTGGTTCTTCCAAAGCGATTGTGTTCCTTTTGTGGGTCATTGCTGGAGACGCTCGTGTTAGTAGTTCCACGGTGGTCTTGATTGC